CAAAAATAGTCTGTTAATTCGGTGATGAGAGTCTTAGTGATTTGAAGGGGTTCAATAATATCTTACAAGAACTCAAGGCATGAAGGGACTTTCAGAACAATAATATTAGTTAACGAAGAGGTAATAGTCACTTTTACTTACCTTATTATTTTATCGTTCATGTTTATTGTACTTATACCCCACCCCTTTGTACAATACTAGGTACAAAAATTCAAGCAACACTATTTAATAAACATATCGAAACAAGGAAGGACTCTTTGAAACCAAATAAGAGTTACTCCATTGTTAAAGAACGCTTAGATCACGTCAACCTCAACTACTATTTCGTACATAAAGAAGTTGAATTGACATTTACATATAACACAATCATAAAGACGACTGATATTGAGGTTTCAACACACAGATTCTTTGTTGGCTTTGTATCATTGATCATGTCGATAAACTACATAATGGTGCTATTCTAGGTAACTGTCCACCCAAATAATTTGTTATTTAATTTCATGCTCCATTATGTAATTGCTATCACTAATTTACATTACCTATTCTAAGATTTGATTTGCGTTTTAGTTTCAATGAATCCCCTTACTGAAAAAGAATAAGCAAGAAACAGGTGATAGTTATTACAAATGAGCAATATGTTTTGAAGATGCCTAAACTACCATCAATATAGATATATGGTGAAGTATTGACATTTCGCTTCTAATTGATAACCCAGCATAGAGAATACAATTGTTACTCTATGAGAAGATTTTATCTAAAATGACGGTGATGTTCTAGAAATGGTGAAAGATGATAAACATATACTTGGCTTATGTGACGTTAGAATCCTAATCTATAAAAGTATTGGACATACTACTGTATGTTTTTATAATAAATTGAGTATAATTGTTGTTTCAAATTTGAAATAAGCTTTTGTCACACTAGGCACTTTTAAAATATCTACTATTTGTATGGGTAGCATCTTGATCAATCCACAGTTTCAAAAATTCACGGACCTGGTACATTACATTAATCACACATATGTTCTGTAATGTTATTTAAATCTGATTGTCACAACTAATTGTACATACTATACTTTAGCATTGTAGGCAGGCTACTTTTAAAGTTTCTATAACATGACACAATTATTCTATTATCATTATTGGGTAATTCCATACTAAAATTTCTAAGTTCCCAAAATCTTTGCAACGAGTACATCTCACTCAAAATGGATGATACAATTAACTAATCTAATAAAAAATATAGGCGTGAAATGGTAAAGGTCAAAATAAAGATTTTATGGTAACACAAGAAAGGAAATGAGAAGAGCCATAGAAGTTCCGTTGGTATATATTATGGATGAACTGCTAGCTAATTCACAAGTACATACTATCCTATACTTCTACTCTCTAAAAATAGTAACCATTTTATTATCCAAAATATAATCACAAATATGATATATTGGCGATGTGCAGGATTGTTTGTACAAGTTCAAAGCAATAATTGCAGACATATTGAATAAAGATGAGCCATGATATTCGTCTTGCAAAAAGTGCAGCAAAAAAGTAAAAGTTATAGAACATATTGTATCTTGTAACAATTGCAATAGTGAGAATGTAGAATATGAAATGAGGTTAGACTCATTAAAAACTCGATTCTACATTTACTAATTAGAAAACAAATTAGCTTTGACTTTTAAATGACTCCCCTTTTTAAACAGATACTACTTACGACTTGAAGTGTGTGATGGAGAACAACGTGCCCGAGTTATACTATTTGAAGCGGCTAAATATTTACTAGGTTGTAGCGTGCAAGACTACATAGAATCAACCTCAATAAAGATATGAACTGTATTTATACCTAAACACCTTAACACCCAATGGACTCCGCCGCATAGGTACATTATCTAATCCATCTTAACTTTTACAGTTATCTTATTGTGATACTTCATAGCACAAAAGAGAAGAAAAGAATTACACGATTACAAAGACATAACATTTGATGATTCTTTTAATTTTACATAGTAGGTTAGTTTTGAAATAAAATGCATCCATCATGCTGCTGAGAAAAATGGATGCCTCAAATGACTTATGCAATGGGACATAGTTGATTTGTAGAGGCTTTGATGAGAATATCACACATGCAGAAAAAACAACAGGTCAATATGCTACAAAGCATATGTTTACTCCAACAATACAACTATAACCACCCCTCTTCCCTTTTTAAAACATATACTGCTTACGACTTGAAGCGTGTGGTAGAGATCAATGTGCCCAAGTTATACTATTTGAAGCGGCTAAATAATTACTAGGCTGCAGCGTGCAAGACTACATAGAATCGACCTCAGTAAAGATATGATCTATATTTATACCTAAACACCTTAACGCTCAATGGACTCCGCTGCATAGGTACGTTGTCTAATCCATCCTAACTTTTACAGTTATCTTATTGTGATAGTTCATAGCACACAAGAGAAGAAAAGAATTACACGATTAAATATACATAACAATTGAAGATTCTTTTAATTTTATACATTAGATTTGTTTTGAAAGAAAATGTGCCCATCATGCTGTTGAGAAAACTGGACCCCTCAAATGACTTATGCAATGGGACATGGTTGATTTGCAGAGGAACACACACCCCTCCCCCATCCCCGCGAAAATGAAGGATACCCTTTCAAATTTATTCGAAAACAATTTCCAATACGTCTATATTTTTGTAATGATGATAAATAAAGCTAAAGGTCAAACAATATCAAATGTAGGAGTATACCTACCACAACATGCTTTCTCGCATGACAAACTATACGTTGCACTATATAGAGGAATATCTATGCCAACAAAAAAAAGTGCAGGTCATGACTGAACAACCAGATTGATGCACCGGGACATACACAAGAAGTACTGTCTACAAGAAAGTACTAGGTGAGATTTGATTAATACCAAAATTGTAAGAAATCAAATAGGATAAAAGCATACATCACACATGTAGCTAATGAAAATTATATTGGATGAATTCTTAGGTTTGGTGAAAGAGGAGACGATATGAAAAATATCAGACAGCTACCACATAAGACATTACTTTTGTGTATATAAAGTTATTCAAATACAGGATACGCTAAATTTCAAATATTAAAAGGGAACATACAGTTCATGACACGACATAACTAAGAGGAGAAACTATTAATTCGTGCACAATTACTTACTAGCAAATTGCCTAATAACAATTTAAGAATACGACGTTCGTCACTGCATGCCCAACAAGCAAGAAGGCAAATAGATTGGCCATACTTATTCACTTAGTATGGCATAGTGCAATATTAAATACATATTGATATGTTGAAAGCAGATAAAATATCTCGTGTATAAGGATCTCAAAACTTAACCTATACGTGCAACGCATGTGCAATGAATCTAATATATATATATATATATATATATATATATATATATATGCTTTCAACTGCAATTACATTACTAATTAGGATTGCTTACAACTTCTTCCGCACCCACCCCTGTTGCTGTTAGTTAATTACTTCTGATTATCCATTCTGGGCTATTCGTGTTTAGGCCACACCTCAATTTCCTTCATACTCCATTCAATAACACCATTATATTATATTACCCTCTACGCCAAACATTCAGTAGGGCCCACCCACTTAATCAAACCTTTCTATACAGGTAGCTTTAATTTGTCTCAAGCTGCTCCCAATCTATATCTACTTTTTTTATTAGTTCGTCCCAAAAAGAATGTCACATTTTTATATTAACTAATAATTTAACTTTTAAATGTTCATTCTACCCTTAATAAAATAATTTATAGTCACACAAATTTCTATTACTTATTTTATACCACAAATTTGAAATTTTTTCCCTTCTTTCTTAAACTTTATGTCGAGTCAAACTAACTAATATAAAATGAAATTGATGGAGTATTATAGTGAGTTATATATATATATATATATATATATAAACATAATTTGATATTTGACGTTTAGATTTCATATAGAGCTATTTTATATAAAAATATGCAAAATTAAATTATTTTTTTGTACTCTTTATGTTATAAACGTAAACAAAATACTTTTTTTTTTTGGTAACTAAATTTCCATTAATCACCAAAGCAAGTCTTTACAGAGCCATAGCAATACATACACATATTGCTATCTTAAAACAAAAAATTTAAACAAAAAAACTCTTAAAAGCTATCTATCAACTTAAAAACATCAAAATAAGAGTTGTTGTAGCTTGGCCTTGATCCTCAGTGGTGCTCTCACATTACAGTGAAGGCGATCTCCTTTGCATTTTCTTCACTTTGTCGTCCATTGTTTTCAAAGATTCTCCCGTTTCTTTCCATCCATATCCTATATACTAGTTCTGCATAAACCATTTTGAAGATTTGTGCATTCAGTGATTTCCCTTTTGCCCGTATGATACACCAAGTTAGGTGATCATCCCAAGTTGTTGTACTGTTCCATTGCCATGTTAGCCACTTCATGATTCTTTCCCACACCTGTTGAGTGAACAAGCATTGAACAAATATAGGATCCCTGGATTCCAGCTATTGTTTGCATAGCTTGCGACTTTGATCCACATCCATCCCCAAGCTTGTAATCTGTTAGTTGTTTGCAGTCTGTTCTGGAGTTGGAGCCACATAGTAAATCTAGCCCTCGGTCTTTCATTGTTAGTAAACATTAAACATTTTCAATTTACACTCAAATTGTCCCCCAACAGCTTCTGGTAAATAGCTTTAATACTAATTGTTCTTAGGTGCATTGTCTGAGTATGTTCCAGAGTATTTCTTCCTGTGATTATTTTCCTGATCATCCACGATGCTTGTGCTGGAATTGGAGCTGACTCTATTATATTGGCCTTTATGTAGTATGTATGGATCCATCTAATCCATAGCTTTACTTGTTTATGAGCTAGGTCCCAAGTAGTTTTTGCAATAGCAACTTTGTTCCACATCCGAATGTTAATGAGATTTAAACCTCCCATGGATTTCGGTGCACAAATTCTTTCCTAAGCAACTAGGGATTTTTTCGTAATGACATTTGCCCCTGACCATAGAAAGCTTCTGTAGTGGGAATCAATAAGCTTTAAGACCTTTGCTGGGATAATGAAGAGCTGGGACCTATATGATTGAATTCCAAATAGGACTGTTTGGATTAATTGTGTTCGACCAACATGAGATAGCTTTCTTGCAGTCCAAGATGAAATCTTTGCGACTATTTTCTCTATTAGGGGAGACCATTGCATCAGTGAAAGTTTTTTGGTGGAGAGGGGAATACTTAGATATTTAAATGGGAGTTGGCCTGCAGTAAATCCTGTATACTGGATGATCTTCACACTTTCTATGCTGGAAACTCCTCCAAAGTAAATTGAACATTTACTCATATTTGCTTGTAAACCTGAAGCTTTAGAGAACAATTGGAAGGATTCAAGCATTGCTGTAACTGATTTGAGATCACCCCTGGCAAATAATAACAAGTCATTTGCAAAACATAGATGAGATACTCCTAGCTTAGCACATCTAGGATGGAAATAATAGCTTTTATTGTCCTTGAGTGTGTGGAGTGATCGACTCAGATACTCCATTGCTATGGCAAATAAGAAAGATTACTTGTTAAATTTAAAACTTCAATTGATTTTCATATTTCGTTAATTAAGAATAAAAAGAATAATATATTACTGGTAAATCCATAACTAGAGTAATATGGTACTAACAAAGAATTAAAATTTAAGAAAATATATGCATTTAAAATTTTAAAATAAATTAAGTTTTATGTTAGAATTCTATAATGGTAGGTTATTTCGTAAATTTCAATTTGTTAATAATAATATAATACTTTGAATTGATGAATATTTTTGTCCAAACTTTCAGCAAATGGGTATTCAATATACCCTTTTTCATTGAAAATTGTCTAAGAGCTTAATTATTTGATTCTACCAAATCGTTCTTGTCTCTGGATTGCCTCACAACTCGAAGCATGAGGCCTGGTATGTCTCACCCAAGTAGCAGGTGGTTAAGGCTCTTCATCCGAACTTCCATATTCATCTTCGGCATCTCATGCTATTGAATGAAATAACCGAAAAAATGCAAATATTAGTAGTCTTTCCTTGTGAAATTAAAATTATGATCATGATTCATGGATACCATTTAAATACAAAGTTTTTTTTTAAAATTTAATATGTACGTGTTATCATTAATATTTATTTTATACATAATATATTTTTTATAAAATAGTAGTATTACACAATATTTTAGTGGAGTAATTTTACTCCTATAATGAAACTTATTATTGCTATAGAAAAGTAAAATACAGTTATAAAGAGAATTACCATTATAGCGAATGATGGTTATTTATCAAAGTAGCTAGAGTGCTTTCAAGAAAATTCTCACCCACTCCTTAATCCCTAAGAAAATTAGCTTAAAAAACACATTCACAAAATGTAAAAACAAACAGTTCGAATTGGCAAGTCAAAAGGCCTGATCCCTCCACACATTTTATCATCTTCTTGAATCTAATATACATCACAAGACACAACAGACTCAGGTTTTTCCTAAACATGATTCAATTATAGAATAACCAAAATCAGAATTTTCAACAAAGAACAAAATGAAATTAAAAAAAAAAACAATTCATAACGTTTATCGCAGAAGAGATGATTAGAGATTACAAATAGTTGAGACTAATTCTCTATCAGAGAAAAGTGTACCACTTTACCATCTGTTTAACTGACAGACAGTATATATCAAAATGGATACACAACACATTAAAAAACAAACCATCAAGCTCTTCTTTCAATTTATTATTATACAGGGACAATTTTTGGACTTTTCTCATCCTAAACCTTTCACTAAATCATTTACACATTAAATAAACTAAATTACCATTAAGAGGGTAACCATGCAGCAATACTAAACTACCACAACCACATAGGAAAACATATCACCCAGGGGCGGACCTAGGTGGACCGGAGGGGTTCACCTGAACCCCATTTTATGCGTATATATATTAAAATGAACCTCCTAAAAACAAAGTACAGCCTTGACTCAGTGGATAAGTGGTTCAACATTGCCCCTAGTTCACTGGTTCGATTACCATTGACAACATTTTTTCCTTCCTTTAAATGCTTTGGAAAATGGAACTTTTTGGGCTTAGACTTTCTTCTTCTTTTTCATTATTTTTTCCTTTTGTTCCATTTCTTCTATGTAGTTTGTTTTTCTTTAAATTTATTAGACACATTCTTTTTATTTTTATTTTTTATTCTTTTTATATCTATTATTTTGTTTCAACATAACTCTTTTTTCATATACTAACTTAAATAACACTTTTAAAAAATCACTACTAAAAAAACAGTGAATACCGACCTCCGAAGGTCGGTATTCCCTAAAATACCGACCTAAAATCGACATCCCAGCTTAGGTCAAAAAAAACTTGGTCGCTATTAAATACCGACCTCTGGAGGTCGGTATTTACTGACCTCTCGAGGTCAGTTTTTATTTTATGTCGAAATATTCATTTTTTTAAATTCCGACCTCTGGAGGTCGGTATTTTTATTTTTGCATTTTGAGATTCTGACCTCCGGAGGTCGGTATTTTTATTTTTGTAATGTTGAAATTCTGACCTCCGAAAGTCGGTATTTTTATTTTTGTAATGTTGAAAATCCGACCTCCGGAGGTCGGTATTTTTATTTTTGTATTTTTGAAATTCTGACATCCGGAGGTTGGTATTTTTATTTTTGTAATGTTGAAATTTCGACCTCCGGAGGTTGGTATTTTTATTTTTGTATTTTTGAAATTCTGACCTCTGGAGGTCGTTATTTTTATTTTTGTAATGTTGAAATTCTGACCTCCAGAGGTCGGTATTTTTATTTTTGTAATGTTGAAATTCTGACCTCCGGAGGTCGGTATTTTTATTTTTGTAATGTTGAATTCTGACCTCCGGAGGTCGGTATTTTTATTTTTGTAATGTTGAAATTTTGACCTCCAGAAGTCGATATTTTTATTTTTGTAATGTTGAAATTCTGACCTCCGGAGGTCGGTATTTTTATTTTTGTAATGTTGAAATTTCGACCTCCGTAGGTCGGTATTTTTATTTTTATATTTTTGAAATCTGACCTCCGGAGGTCGGTATTTTTATTTTTGTTATGTTGAAATTTTGACCTCCGGAGGTCAGTATTTTTATTTTTGTATTTTTAAAATTCTGACCTCTGGAGGTTGGTATTTTTATTTTTGTAATGTTGAAATTCTGACCTCCGGAGGTCGGTATTTTTATTTTGTAATGTTGAAATTCTGACCTCCGGAGGTCGGTATTTTTAATTTTGTAATGTTGAATTCTGACCTCCGGAGGTCAGTATTTTTATTTTTGTAATGTTGAAATTCCGACCTCCGGAGGTCGATATTTTTATTTTTTGTATTTTTGAAATTCTGACCTCCGGAGGTCGATATTTTTATTTTTGTAAAGTTGAAATTCCGACCTCCGGAGGTCAGTATTTTTATTTTTGTATTTTTGAAATTCTGACCTCCGGAGGTCGGTATTTTTATTTTTGTAATGTTGAAATTCTGACCTCTGGAGGTCGGTATTTTTATTTTTGTATTTTTAAAATTTTGACCTCCGGAGGTCGGTATTTTTATTTTTGTATTTTTAAAATTCTGACCTCCGGAGGTTGGTATTTTTATTTTTTAGTTTTGGAATTCTGACCTCCGGAGGTCGATATTTTATATTTGAAATTTCGACCTCCGGAGGTCGGTTTTCTGCTACAAAACAGGCAGCAAATTGCTGCAATTTTTAGTTGTCCACCTGTATATTTATACCAAAACAACCCAAAGCCAAATAAACTTCATCCAACCAAAACATCCCAAAGCCAAATAAAATTCATCCAACCAAAACAACCCAAAGCCAAATAAACTTCATCTAACCAAAACAACCCAAAGCCAAATAAACTTCATCCAACCAAAACAATACAATATTTTCAACATATACATTAAACTATTTCAAAATAAACTAAAATACTATTAAATTAAACAATTCCAAAAATATAGAAGTCTAAAATGTCAAATAGATACAACTACTCCTCATCACCCTCACTCTCCTTATCAGACTTACTATTCTCATTACCCTCACTTTCCTTATCGGACTTATCATTCTCATCACCCTCCTGATCAGATCCATCACTGCTGGCCGGACATGGAGGAAGAATATTTCCTGATTCAAAAAGAAAAGTTAGTTGGGCTTGAAGCGTTGCTAACCTCTTGTTCTCTACCTCCTTTGCTGCCGCAATCTCATCGACCATATTTGACATTCTAGAACCTTGGAAATAATTATGCTCGGTAGATCTACTACTTTCACCGACAACAAAGTTATTAAACATACTGTCACTTTCAACCTCACCATGACTAGTCCAAACAGTATACCCTGGTTTGAATCCTTTCATCATAAGATGCATAGCAACAGTCTCTGTTGTATGATATCTCACATTTTCACAATTAACACACGGACACCTAATCAATCTTGAAGTTAAAAAATCAACAAGTGTCATTGCATGATTTATAAATCTAGTGACACCTTCTGCGAATTCTGGAATCATACCCGCTCGATCAGGATTGTTTCTATTATACATCAAACTACGATCAGGATCCATCTACACAAACAATAATGATAATTTTAATTAACTTTAACTACATTAGTTTTGACTTAATTCCAACAACTAAATTCACTAACTAATCCACATTATTTATTTTAACTTATTTAAACAACTTAACAACTTTTTAACTTTAACTACAATAGTTTTAACTTAATTCCAACAACTAAATCCACTAACTAAACGACATTATTTATTTTAACTTATTTAAACAACTTAACAACTTTTTAATTTTAACTACATTAGTTTTGACTTAATTCCAACAACAAAATTTACTAACTAAACCACATTATTTATTTTAACTTATTTAAACAACTTAACAACTTTTTAACTTTAACTAGTTTAGTTTTGACTTAATTCCAACAACTAAATTCACTAACTAACCCACATTATTTATTTTAACTTATTTAAACAACTTAACAACTTTTTAACGTTGACTAATTTAGTTTTGACTTAATTTCAACAACTAAATTCACTAACTAAACCACATTATTTATTTTAACTTATTTAAACAACTTAACAACTTTTTAACTTTAACTAGTTTTAGTTTTGACTTAATTCCAACAACTAAATTCACTAACTAAACGACATTATTTATTTTAACTTATTTAAACAACTTAACAACTTTTTGACTTTAACTACAATAGTTTTGACTTAATTCCAACAACTAAATCCACTAACTAAACGACATTATTTATTTTAACTTATTTAAACAACTTAACAACTTTTTAACTTTAACTAGTTTAGTTTTGATTTAATTCCAACAACTAAATTCACTAACTAACCCACATTATTTATTTTAGCTTATTTAAACAACTTAACAACTTTTTAATGTTAACTAGTTTAGTTTTGACTTAATTCCAACTGCTAAATCCACTAACTAAACGACATTATTTATTTTAACTTATTTAAACAACTTAACAACTTTTTAACTTTAACTAGTTTTAGTTTTGATTTAATTCCAACAACTAAATTCACTAACTAACCCACATTATTTATTTTAACTTATTTAAACAACTTAACAACTTTTTAATGTTAACTAGTTTAGTTTTGACTTAATTCCAACTGCTAAATTCACTAACTATACACATTATTTATTTTAACTTATTTTAAACAACTTAACAACTTTTTAACATTAACTAGTTTAGTTTTGACTTAATTCCAACAACTGAATCCACTAACTAAACGACATTATTTATTTTAACTTATTTAAACAACTTAACAACTTTTTAACTTTAACTACAATAGTTTTGACTTAATTCCAACAACTCAATTCACTAACTAAACCACATTATTTATTTTAACTTATTTAAACAACATAACAACTTTTAACTTTACCTAGTTTAGTTTTGACTTAATTCCAACAACTAAATCAATTTTATCATCTACAGGATCAAATAGTGTTGGTACTTATGCTTAACAAATATATTATTTCTAAATTTAAAGCTAAGTGTCAACACTAGATGGACACAAATCGATCTTGCAAGAAATCAATTTTGTCATCAATAGGATCAATAGTGTTGGTACTTATGCTCAACAACACATTATTCCTAAATTAAAGCTTATATTCAACACTAGATGGACACAAATCGATCTTGCAAGAAAATCAATTTTGTCATCAATAGGATCAACTAGTGTTGGTACTTACGCTCAACAAATATATTATTTCTAAATTTAAAGCTAAGTGTCAACAATAGATGGACACAAATCGATCTTGCAAGAAAATAAATTTTGTCATCAATAGGATCAACTAGTGTTGATACTTATGCTTAACAAATATGTTATTTCTAAATTTAAAGCTAAGTGTCAACACTAGATGGACACAAATCGATCTTGTAAGAAAATCAATTTTGTCATCAATAGGATCAACTTGTGTTGGTAACTTATGCTTAACAAATATATATTTCTAAATTTAAAGCTAAGTGTCAACACTAGATGGACAGAAATCGATCTTGCAAGAAAATCAATTTGTCATCAATAGGATCAACAAGTGTTGGTACTTATGCTTAACAAATATATTATTTCTAAATTTAAAGCTAAGTGTCAACACTAGATGGACATAAATCGATCTTGCAAGAAAATCAATTTTGTCATCAATAGGATCAACTAGTGTTGGTACTTATGCTCAACAAATATATTATTTCTAAATTTAAAGCTAAGTGCCAGCACTAGATGGACATAAATCGATCTTGCAAGAAAATCAATTTTGTCATCAATAGGATCAACTAGTGTTGGTACTTATGCTTAACAAACAATCGATGGACACAAACAAATTATCATAAAATTAAAGCTAAGTATCAAATACTAGATGGACACAAACACATATTATTGAAAACAATTGTACCTTGAACTTTAGAAATTTAGAAGCACCAACCTTATCTCCTACTTTGATGAAAGAAGCAATATAGTCTTGTATCAACTTTTTTAGATGTTGAGCTTCTTCAGTTGCCTAGCACGAAAAGTTCTAAAATTAGTAATATATAAACTTCAAATCCAAGAATATTAGTTATATATATATATATATATATATATATTATATATATATATATATATATATTCAAGTTTTAATAAGTTCAAGTTTCAATTCAAGTTCATATCTAAAATTAATTAGTTATATATTCAAGCTAATTAGTTCCAAGTTCAAGTTCTAAGTTCAACTTCAAATTTTAAGTTCATGTTCTAAGTTCAAGTTTCAAGTTTCTATTTCAAGTTCAAGTTCTAATTTCAAGTTCAAGTTCTAAGTTCAAGTTCAAATTCTAATTTCAAGTTCAAGTTCTAAGTTCAAGTTCAAATTCTAAGTTCAAGTTCTAATTCAAGTCAAGTTTTCAAGTTCAAGTTCAAGTTCAAGTTCTAAGTTCTATGTTCAAGTTCAAGTTCTAAGTTCTAAGTTCAAGTTCAAGTTCAAGTTCTAAGTTCAAGTTCAAGTTCTAATTTCAAGTTCAAGTTCTAAGTTCAAGTTCTAGTTCAAGTTCAATTCTAAGTTCAAGTTCAAATTCTAAGTTCAAGTTCAAGTTCTAAGTTCAAGTTCAAGTTCAAGTTCTAAGTTCAAGTTCAAGTTCAAGTTTTAAGTTCAAGTTCAAGTTCTAATTTCAAGTTCAAGTTCTAATTTCAAGTTCAAGTTCTAAGTTCAAGTTCAAATTCTAAGTTCAAGTTCAAGTTCTAATTTCAAGTTCAAGTTCCAAGTCACGTTCAAGTTCTAAGTTCAAGTTCAAATTCTAAGTTCAAGTTCAAGTTCTAAGTTCAAATTCTAATTTCAAGTTCAAATTCTAAGTTTAACTTTAAATTCTAAGTTCAAGTTCAAGTTTTAAGTTCAAGTTCAAGTTCTAATTTCAAGTTCAAGTTCTACGTTCAAGTTCAAGTTCTAAGTTCAAGTTCAAGTTCTAAAATCATGTTAGTTCTAATTTCAAAGTTCAAGTTCTAAGTTTAAGTTCAAATTCTAAGTTCAAGTTCAAGTTCTAATTTCAAGTTCTAATTTCAAGTTCTAAGTTTAACTTGAAGTTCTAAGTTCAAATTCAAGTTCTAATTTCAAGTTCAAGTTCCAAGTTCGCGTTCAAGTTTAAATTCTAAGTTCAAGTTCAAGTTCTAAGTTCAATTCTAATTTAAGTTCTTTCAAATTCTAATTTCAAGTTTCAAGTTTCCTAAGTTCAAGTCTCAAATTGTTCAAGTCTCTAAGTTTCAATTCAAGTTCATAAGTTCTAGTTCAACAGTTCAAGTTCAAGTTCAAGTTCTAAGTTCAAGTTCAAGTTCAAGTTCTAAGTTCAAGTTCCAAAAGTCTAATTTCCAAGTTCAAGTTCTTAAGTTCAAGTTCTAATAGTTCAAGTTCAGTTTAAGTTTCAAGTTCAAGTTCTAAAAGTTCAAGTTCAAGTTCTAAGTTTTCAAGTTCAAGTTCTAAGTTCAAGTTCAAGTTCTAAGTTCAAGTTCAAAGTTCTAATTCAGTTCAAGTTCTAAGTTCAAGTTTTCTAATTTCAATTCAAGTTTCTAAGTTCAAGTTCAAATTCTAAGTTCAAGTTCAATTCAAGTTCTAAGTTTAACTTCAAATTCAAGTTCAAGTTCAAGTTCTAATTTCAATTCAAGTTATAATTCAGTTCAAATTCTAAGTTCAACTTCAAATTCTAATACATTGACATTCAAACATTCATCATCAATTCATGACATTCAAACATTCATCTTCTACTCATAACACTTCAATTACTAATTTCTAACTTCAAATTAACACTTTATTAACTAGTCCTAAAATCAAAATCCAAAAAAATCCCAATTCAACCTCAAATTGCATATTCTCAAGTTTAAACTAGTCCTAAAATATAAAAATGCTAATTCTTCACTAACTAACAATGCCCAATTTAAAAATGCCTAATTTCTTTTTTAAAAAACCTTAAAATAACAATCTTCAATTATCTATACCTAACTAACAATAATCAAATCAAATTAACAATTGAATAACACAAGCAACAAACACAATCAACAAACACAATCAACAAACACAATCAATAATATACTAACAAACAATCAATTATAATCACTAGAATTAAAGCTAAGTATTAATACTAGATGGACACAAACACATTATTCAAAACAATTGTACTTGAACTTGAGAAATTTAGAAGCACCAACCTTATCTCCAACTTTGATGAAAGAGCAATATAGTCCTGTATCAACTTTTTTACATGTTGAGCTTCCTCAGTTGCCTAGCACGAAAAGTTCTTAAATTAGTTAAATATAAACTTCATATCCAAGAATATATATATATATATATATATATATTCAAGTTTTAATAAGTTCAAGTTTCAATTCAAGTTCATATC